GGAGAGGGAGAAAAGTCAAGGAATGAAGTGGATGACGAATCTATTGGGTCAGACTAGAGTGCAGTCACGCCTCCGCCCTCGACCTTGAAAAGACCACCAGTGAAAGAGCCAGCAAATCGTCTAGAGGGTGGCTTGAAAATTCATAAAATGGTCCATGTTCCTAACAGTAACAATAAGAAGAATGGTGCCCTGAGAAAGTGTCGCGTGAGTGCTAAGCACAAGGTTAGAAAAGAAACAAGTATCATGTGTGCAGGCTGTGGTGTGGCTCTCTGCAAACTTTCATGTTTCAATGTTTATCACACGAAGAAAAACAAATAAAGAGGTGTGGAAAAGCATTTATTGCATAAAATATTGTATTTTAATTAGTTCCTAAAAATTTCGTTTTTAAAAACCAATTTTTGTTGAAGTTGTTTAGGAAAAAGTAACTACATGCATTTTAGCGACATAAGGTTTAAAGGGCCTGCCAGGACAGGGGTGAGATTTAAATACCCTTCGTGCCAGTCAAAGAGTTAATGAGACTTCTACAGTGTCGCAGTAACCAAAACTGGGACTGTATGTTTTCGCTAGAGAGATTTGTCAGTAAACTTCTATGATCATGTTTCATTTCTAAACACCAGACACTCATCAAGATGGCAAATTGAATGTGCTTGACTCAGGCATGCTATTGAGATCATGTAGTCTGAACAGAAATGAAAGTCAGTGGCAACAATAGCAAGTTTTTTTTAGAATAAAGCCAAAATTATGAAACTTAACTAAAAAATGTTTACAGACTTTAGTTTAATGGCTAAAGAAATGAAAATACAGGTACATGAAGTGTGATGATTGGTCTTTCAGAGGCTTTTTGTTCCATATTTTTATAATGACACATGATTGAGATATTGTATTTTAAAAAGGGAGCAGAAGTTTAAAATTAAACACTGCAGTGACAAATTTAACCTTTAACTGATCAGTCCAGTGATGAGTACGGTTGAAGTTGCCGAAGTACACAATTTGTGCAGCCAGGCATTTA